CATCATCATCATCATCCGGAGCGCCCCGGATCGGCGGCACTGGCCGGAGGCCACTACAATATGCAAGGCCCATTTGCTCAAAAGGTAAGGGCCGAGAGGCCTAAAATTAGGGCCGGGAGGCCTAGAGTTAAGAGCCGGATGGCCTAAAGGTAAGGGCCGGGGGGCCTAAAAATAAGGGCCCGATCATCATCATCATCATCATCATCATCATCATCATCATCATCATCATCATCAGCAGCAGCAGCAGCAGCAGCAGCAGCAGCGCATCATCATCATCACCATCATCATCATCATCATCATCATCGTCATCATCAGCTTCATCATCATCATCAGCATCATCAGCATCATTGTCATCATTGTCATCATCATCAGCATCAGCATCAGCATCATCATCGTCGTCGTCATCGTCATCATTATCATAATCATCATCATCAGCAGGAGCAACATCATCAGCAGCATCATGCTCAGCATCATCAACCCACCATCAATATCAGCATCATCAACATCATCGTCATAAGCATAATTAGCATCCTCACCATCATCATAATCATCATCAGCATCATCATCCTGCTCCTCATCATCATCAGCATCATCATCAGCTCCATCATCATCCATCATCATCATCATCAGCATCAGACCAGCATCAGCATCATCATGATCAACTTCATCATCATCGTCATCATCATCACCATCAGCATCATCATCATCATCATCAGCAGCAGCATCATCAGCATCAGCATCAGCACCAGCATCAGCATCATCAGCATCATGGTCATCATCATCTCCTCTTCCTCCTCCTCCTCCTCTTCCTCCTCCTCCTCCTCTTCCTCCGCCTCTTCCTCCTCGTCCTCCTCCTCCTCTTCCTCCTCCTCCTCCTCCTCCGCACCCGCCCCCCATCATCAGCAGGCCATCGCCACTCTCAGCCTCACCATGCGTCATCCACTGTGCGCCGTCAGGCGCCTCCTCCTCGCTTTCCCCCCTGTCCCCTCTCCACCGTCATCAGCATCCACCACCCACCGTCATCGGCAGACCTCGCCGTCACCATGGCACCCCCCGAGGCTCCTGCTCTGCGACCCCCCCCCCCCCCAACCCACGACCCCATATCTTCCTCCTCCCTCCTCCTCCTCCTCCTCCTCCTCGCCTCACCTCCTGCTTTTTCTCTTTCTTCTCTCCTCCTCCTCTCTCCTCCACCTCCTCCTCCTGGTCCGCATCCTCCTCCTCCTCCTCCTCCTCCTCCTCCGACTCCTCCCCCCTCCCCCTTCCTCCTCCTCTCTCCTCCTCCTCCTCCTCCTCCTCCTCCTCCTCCTCCCCTCCTCCTCCTCCTCCTCCTCCTCCTCCTCCTCCTCCTCCTCCTCCTCCTCCTATTCCTCCTCCTCCCACAAGCCCCCACGACCGCCTCCCCCTCCCGCCCCGCGCCGCGCGCCTTCGTGGGGCAGAACATGCCGCCGCCTCGCGCCTGGTTGCCAAACGCGGCCTGCCCCGCGCGGTGAGTGCCGCCGCCGGGGGCGCGGGGGATGCGGGCCACGGCGCGCCCGGTGCCTGCGGCGCGGGGGGAATGGGGGGTGAGATGGGCGAGTGAGGGGGGAGAGGGGAAGGGGGAGGGAGAGGGGAAGGGGGGAGAGGGCGGAGAGGGGCGAGGGCAGGGGGGAGAGGGGAAGGGGGGGGGGAGCGGCGAAGGGAGGGGGCGCGGGGAGGGGAAGAGAGGCAGGGCGCCGAAGCAGAGGAGGGGGCGGGGGGAAGGGAGTGGAGGGAGGAGGGAGGGAGGAATGGGAGGGGGGAGGAGAGCGGGGAGAGTAGCAGGCGGGGGAGGCACTGAGAGTGAGAGGGAAGAGAGAAGGGGGCAGGAGAGAGGGAAAGGATGACGGAGGATCAAGTGGGACGGAGGAGTGGAGGAGCGGGGAGAAGAGGAAGGAGGGAGGAACGAGGGAGAGAGGAGGGGGGAGGAGGAGGCGTGGCGGGAGCGCGACGATGAGGACAGGGGTGTAAACCCAAGGTGCACTACCGATGCTGGTAGTACACCCTCCCGACCACAAGTCCCTGCTGCGTAAATGCCTGCAGGCGCTCCTTTTCACCACGGGCACCTCGCCACTCTGAGAGCCGAGAGCCCCGCTTTGAATAGGAGCCGCCCGCCGACTCTTAAGCTACAGAACACGCACGGGATAGGATCACGCACTCCCGACAAATTATGTCCAGCAAGAGCCCTGGTCTGGAAAAGGCCCCTCTACCTCCGTGCGTATCCCACCAACCATGTAGGGCGTAGGGAGTCAACGGCGTTCCCTCTTCCAATCCCCATTCTTCCCCTCCGAGGAGGGGCTTATCACTGGTCCCCATGAATCAACACCCCCTCCCCCAGGCGACTGGCAGGCAACCAAGAGCAGCGACCCCAAACCACCATCCCTGTCGAAAAAGACAACAACATACACTTTGGGCAACATATTGGGTCATACTCGTGGACTCCGCGAGCGCTTTGCCTAGTGTTGTTGACAGGGCCGGCGGGGGAGTATCATATGACCTGCTGCGCACAAGGTCACCATCCCTGGTATCAAACCATACAAAATACACTTCGCGGCTAAATCTGGATCATGCGCGGCGACCCCGCGATCATTGTTCAGTGGTTCTTGCGAGGACGGCAGGGGTGCTGACATATTGCTAGGTGTGTGCAGGCCCACAAGACACCATGATGGCCTCCCCGCCGCGACTGTCCATTGGCTTTCGACCACGATGGTGGAGGGGGCGGCATGTTTCCCAATGTGTGCAGTGTCACCTGCGCGGGCGCACCTGGCACACTCGGCGCGTGCCCTGACGGTGGCGCGCCTGGCGCGCCTGGACCATGCCGCACCCATGGCGCGCGTGGAGCACGTGGTGCATCTGGCGTGCCAGACGTGCCTGGCACGCTTGGGCCCCAGGGATGCCTGGCGCGCCTGGCACACGTGGCGCACCTCGCACCAGCGTCGCGCACACTGGGATTGCTCTGGTCTCTCGGTAGCTGCCCATCCAAAGACGACCGCTGAACATGCTGAGGCTTGGGTGGTACTCATGTGTTGGGAGGGCAGGCGGGAATGAGCGAGACAGCTTGCGAGCGGGGAGGTTGTCTTGACCCCTTCCCCTGCAACCTCCCCTTGACCTGGGCGGGGCGCCCCGCGACCCATATAAGCGTCCAAGAATGCCTCGGCGAGAAGGCAAAACTCATTGATTTTCTCAAGGTGTTGGGCCCATTTCGGCCTGCTGGGAGGGCAGAGCTGATTTAGTACCCCCCTCCTTTGATCGATTTCCGCCATGGGTGCCCCCGGGGCTGCCAAGAGTCCTCAAAAGGGCGCCCAATAGCAGAGGCCCGCAAGAGGTCCCAAAGAGGCCCACAAGAGATCCGCAAGAGGCCCCAAGAGGCTCCCCCAAGGCACCCAAAACGCCCCAAGAGGCCCCCAGGACCGCCAAGGGGCCCCCAAGACGCCCGAAGAGGACCCTGAGGAACTCTCAAAACGCATCCGAAAAGACTCCGAGAGGCATCCAAGAGGCATCTGGCCTTCCTGATCGCCCTCCTCCTCCTGTTCCTCATCCGCCTGCTCCTCCTCCTCCTTCTCCTCCTCCTCCTCCTCCTCCTCCTCCTCCTCCTCCTCCTCCTCCTCCTCCTCCTCCTCCTCCTCCTCCCTCCAGCCCCCTCCCCCCCCACCTTCCCTCTCGAGGCGCAGCGGGGCCCAGAACCGCGCACGCGCGCGCGCCATGTGTCGGCGCCCCGGCAGCGCAGGACGGCCAGGCAACCCCCGCGGCTTGAGGGGCACCCCGCAGGTGGCGACAGTTGCGCGCGAGGGGTCCCACGGGCAAGGGCGGGAAGCATGAGCGCCCGAGGTCCACCAGTCGCAGCCGCAAACACGAGCATCTGGTCCGCCCTGCTCGTCCTCCTTCTCGGGTGGCGCTTGGGCACAGAGCGGGGAAGACTGGGCGGGAGGCACGTCGAATCCGTGGGCGAGATTGGAACGATACCAGCAAGTCATCGTCGAGAGTGCTGTTCGATCTGGGCAACGGACAGGAAGGGACGCTACGACCTTGCATCTAGCATAGCAGCGCACCCAGGGGAGTCCAGTCCTGGACGCCCTACGGCTCCAGTACGACAACGCGATGGCAGAGGGAGCCCATGACGAGCATCAAATAGTGTTGGCCATCTGTACGTCTCTCGAGGCCAAATGGAAGCCCCCGCCAGTCGCGGGCCCGGAGGAGCAGCTGGCAAAGTGCGCCCAGCGGCTTCGACAGCTACACGCGCAGCAGGACAGGCTCAAGAACCAGGAGATGGCTGCTGCGCAGTCCCGAAAAGACATCCAGATCAAACTGTGAGAAAGCACCAACCAATGCATGAAACCCCAATCCAAAATCGACGGCGCGGTTGGCATCGGCGGCGCCACCACCAGGAACCTACGCACAGCGGGCAGCTGAACGAGACGAGCTCCCAGAACTAGCCTTAGGTCTGGCATTTCCCCCTACAGGGGAATTTTGGACGAAAGATTTAAAAAAATACCCCAAGAATGCTCCAAAATACCCCCAAAATGCACAAAACATATCCCCAGACTATTTTGAAAACTATTCTTGGAGATTCCTCCGACTTAAAACTAATCCCAGAAGAGTTGCCGTCGCACGACTAGAACGTCTAGAAACCATACGAGAAGCGCCCAAGACGACGAACAACGCAGGCAAAGCGGCAAAGGAACCAGCACAGCGTTAAGTCGGGCGCTTCCCCCTACACGCGGGTTTTGGACGAAAATTGAAACATACCCCAGAAATGCCCCAAAATGTTCAAACAAATGAAAAAATAGTCCCCATATTATGTTTGACTATTCTAGAATACTCCTCCTGTAGAGGGACATGCCCGACCCAAGCATGACGGTTTCGATCGCTCCACGCGCCCACCAAGCGCCGACGTCGCCACGGCGGCACAGCAGCAGCGGCGGAAGGAGAAGGGGGCGACGCGAAATCAGGCGATGCTGCCCCAGAACCGATCGACCTCGCCGACCCAGTGCAGGTGGGCCCCGCGCGAGCGCGCAGACGGCGCGGCCCCGTGCGAGCGCGAAGACGTCGGCGGCGAACAGCGCCGGCACAGCAGGGGGCGGCGAAGGCGGAACCCCGGAACTAGCGCAGACGGCGATGGAAGGAAGAGGGCCATGAGCAAAGACGGTACAGGGCAGTTCTTAATACATGGGGTTTTTTAAACAGATAGGATGTTTAAGACATGCTTAATTTATGAATACGTGTATGCAGGAATTCATCGTTGCTTTTAATACTAAATCCCTGCATGTTTAATACATGATCCGCACGCGGAGCATGTATTAAAAACGGTACTGTACGGTGATTGTCCTCTTTGCTAATGTGACCACCAACGGCGGGAAGGCAGGCGCCATGTGGGGAGCAGCTCGCGCGACGTGATCGGCCTAGCGGGGCACCACCTGCTCCAGAGGGCGGCGCTGCCAGAGTTAGGTCGGGTATGTCCCCCTACAGGCGGACTTCGAAGGAAGATGTCAACATATTCCAAAAAAAAATGAAAGATAGACGAAAAATCGTCCCCATATTAATTCTAAGTATGTTTGAAGATTCCCCCTGTAGAGGGACAGGCCCGACTTAATGTTAGAGGCCAGAAAGCTGCGCGTCGCGGGATGGCAGTCGCGGTTCGAATGGACGCCAGCAATACCAACAAGGAGAAGCGCCACAAGCACTCACTGGGGCGCGCGCTGGACGGCGAGATCGGGGCATGCCGCTGCAGCGCATCTTCCAAACAAAACGGGCAAGAGCGTGTTCCAGAATCGGGGAGACGTAAGCTTCGGGCACGGGGACTCGGGTTGGCCTGACGGGGCCATCATGAAAATGACGAGGCCCAATCTGAAATTTGACGCGAGCTCCCGCTGCAAACATTCCATGAAAACTGGACCGTCAAAATTCAGGACGAGCTCGTCGATTAGCCTGGCGAAGGACCCAACCATATGCAGTTGTGAATACCGCAAATATGAATGGGGCCACGAAGCGCTGTCCTGGGTGGAGGGGACGCATGCGAACACACCCACTTGGGCCTTCGGTGGAGCTCCCTATGGGGCCACGAAGCGTTGACCTGGGTGGGGGGGACGCATGCGAACACCCCCACGGGGGCCTTCGGTGGAGCTCCCCGTGGAGCCACGAAACGCTGTCCTGGGTGGGGGGGGGCGCATGCGAACACCCCCACGGGGGCCTTCGGTGGAGCTCCCTACGGGGCCACGAAGCGTTGACCAGGGTGGGGGGGGCGCATGCGAACACACCCACTTGGGCCTTCGGTGGAGATCCCTATGAGGCCACGAAGCGTTGACCTGGGTGGGGGGGACGCATGCGAACACCCCCACGGGGGCCTTCGGTGGAGCTCCCTATGGGGCCACGAAGCGCTGTCCTGGGCGGGGGGGACGCATGCGAACACCCCCCCTCCCCACTTCAGGGGGGGAGGGGAGGGTTCGGACCACCCCCCTCCAAGGGGGGGGGGGGGGGGGGGGGGGGGGGCGAAAATCGCACCCCCCCTTTTCACTTACAGGGTGATCCAGTGGCGCGCTTTCTTTGATTCATATTCTGTATATACATAAATAGATGTCGATATCGACAGATGTATATATAGAGAGAGAGAGAGAGAGAGAGAGAGAAAGAGAGCGAAAGAGAGAGAGAGAGAGAGAAAGAGAGAGAGAGAGAGAAAGCAGCACCAAAAACAAGGAAATAATTACAGACAGACAGAGAGAGAGAGAGAGACAGACAGACATACAGACAGACAGACAGACAGACAGACAGACAGACAGACAGACAGACAGACAGACCGACCGACCGACCGACCGACAGACAGACAGACAGACAGATAGACAAACTGACAGGCAGACAGAACCACAAACACACGCACACAAACAAAAAGAAACAGACACGGCAGTGACAGACAGAGACAAAAACAGAGACAGGCATAGAGAGAGCGCGCGTGCCCCAAGACTCTGCGGCGGTCTCGTAGCCGGCGCGGGGGGTCACGGCGTATGCCTGGCCAGGGGGGCTGTGCCAGGGCGGTCCGAGGACTTTGGTGAAGGAGGAGGCGGAGGGAGGAGCAGAGGAACAGGAGGGGGGGCATGGGAAGAGGGGGAGGGAGAGCGGGAGGGAGAGGGAGACGGAGATGGGGAGGGAGAGGGGGGGGAGAGGGGGAGGAACGGGGGGGGAGAGGGGGAGGAGAGGGGGAGAGAGCAAGCTAGGCGCGCTGGAGCCATATATGACATCCTACCCCTCCCACCCATCCCCTCCCATTGCGCTGAATTTTCTCTATTCGCGCGCGCGTGCCATAGCGGACCTGGAACTCCCAAAAGACCCCGTCGTGTTATGCACAGTCGTAAAGGGCGAGCTGCGTACACAGGAGGAGAGGGAGGAGGTGGTGGCAGATGAGCAGGAGGACGAGCAGGATGAGCAAGAGGAGGACGAGAACAAACGGCAGCAGCAGCGGGAACTGGAGCGGACGGAGCGGGAGAAGGGGAAGGCGCCTGTGAGGAAAAGCGGGGGGCGACAACGATGAGGAAGGACTCGGATCCAGAAAAAAAGTGGGCCGCGCCGGGGCGGAAGCGCCATCCTGAACGACCAGCGCCTTGCCGATCCTAAGGCGAGGCCATCGCTGCAGCGGCGTCAATGTTTCAAACACCGAGAACGCTCCGATCGGAAAAAAACAGAGGAAAGGAGGGGAACGGGGGGAGAGAAGGAGGGAGGAAGGGAGAGAGGGGAGGGAGGGGAGGGAGGGAGGGAGGGAGGGGAAGGCGAGCGCAAAACGCGGAGGCGTAGTGGAGCTGCTGGTATTGCTGGAGGTTGGGTGTGTCGAGGCCTCTGCGAGGCCAATGCCAGAATACGCAAACTTGTGTGTCGCGGCGGGCGGGCGAAGCTGCTCGCGAGAGGAGCGGGCTGTCGGAGCCCGTTTGCCTCGCTGCCGCTGCTTCCATACCTGTCGGTGGATGGCGAATTACGGTAAACATTGCCTGACCGACGTTTGACCCCACGACACGATGGCCGACCGTTCAACAGGGATATGCTGTGTTCCACGGCCATGGTCTTGTGAGAACTGACGATCATGTTCAGACCGTTCAGACCGTGATCTCATATCATCGGTGACTGAGCCCGCTTGCCTTGGCACACCTCGTTCCATTTTGGCGCTCTGTCTGCGCCTATGATTAATCCTTGTCGCAACGGGTGTCTTTGGATAGACGGCATGGCCCGATCTCAGAAGCCTGTTGGCGGAGGCAGTTCACGGCATCAGCCCTTCCATGCCCCCTTCTTCCCCTTCGGGGAGAGGTCCACCCGTCCCCCGTACCCCACGTCGAAACGCCTCCCCCCCGACCCCCCTCGCCTGTGTCTCTCGAAAGCCTATTGGGGGCTCTCGGGGCCTCCGGGGCCCTCTAAAGGTCCTCTACGGGCTTAGTGGGGGCGATGTAAAGACGCAAGGGGGCCTTTCAGTGGCCATCTTGGGTCACCTAAGGGTGCTCTCTCGAGCCACCTTGGGGCCGTCTCCGAACTCATTGGAGACGTTTTGGGGCGATTTCGGAAGCTCCGCGGATTGTCTTGAGCGTCCTGGCGCCGGCTCACGCGAAAAGATATCACACAAAATAAACAACGAGTATGCCTCCTCGGGACCTATTGGGGGACACCCTTGGGGCTGGTGATGCAATCAGAAGGGGAGCCAAGACAAGGACGAGGGCGAAACTGGACAGGAGTGAATCGGGGATGTACGACATCCGGCGGTTCTGGAGCATGTGGATAGATGGTGCGCCGCGACCCTCTCGGAGCGGAGGCTCTGGAACGGCCAGTCCCCGTCGTAATTGGCCCCGTCCGAGTGGGGGAAGGGGCACCGCGTCGTGGAAGGGAGGACGAGGAGCATGCAGGACGAGGGGGAGCAGGACAGGGGAACGGGGCCGGAGCCGCGGGCCTGGCGCTTGTTCTTCGACACGGCGGTGTGGATGTAGCGCACGAGGTCGGGGCGCAGCGGGGAAGTCAGCACGGACGGCATGGGGATGGTCGCCTCCTGCCCCCGGGAGGCCCCCCGTCGTCCAAGAGCCTCCCTGCCTCGTGCTCCTCCTCCTCCTCCTCCTCCTCCTCCTCCTCCTCCTCCTCCTCCTCCTCCTCCTCCTCCGTCGTTTCCTCCTCCTCCGTTTCTTCCTCCTCCGTTTGTTCCGCCAGCGTGGATGGGGCATCCGAAGACCTGGCGCGAAGGTCTGCCGATCTGGCGACGCAGCGCGCCGAGTCCTCGGGGCAACGGGCCCGCCGACAGTCCACGCGCCTTACTCCATTGAAAAAGGCCCTGGGACACACAATTGAATAGACACACAAAAGAGGATTCCCCATACTCTCCCATACTTTCTGGGTTTTTCTCTTCCCCCCCACTTCCCATATGTTCCTGTATTTTCTGGGGGATCGGCGATTGTTTCTGTGTGCTTGTTCCTCCTGAACCATGCCTGCGCTTCCTCGACCCTCGTGCTCAATCCCCTGTCTCTCGCCGTCCCTCCGCGCCTGCCCACCGTCCCCTCCCCTCTCCGGCTCCTCCTTCTCCGCGGGGGCATCGAACTTGTAGACGGACACGACGGGCCGCGCGGTGGCCATCGCGCTCTTCGGGGAAGTGCCCCGAGGACTCTTGCTCCTGGCGCTCGCTCGGATCGGTGCGGCCTCCGGCACTTGAACCGCTGGAAAGAAAGACACGTATGTGCACGTGTGCTCTGCATATACATACCTATCTATGTACATATATAAAAATATATGTGCGTATGTACACGAGAGAGAGAGAGAGAGAGAGACAGCGAAAGAGAGAGAGAGAAAGAGAAGGATATATAGAGAGAGGGAGATAGATAAAGAGAGAGAGCGAGAGAGAAAGATGGGGCAAGGAAGGGAGGCAGAGGCGAGGTGAGGCGAGGCGAGGCGAGGCGAGCGCGCGGTACGGCAAGGAGCGGGCCCCTTCAGGGCCTGCGCGGGGGGCTGGAGCCCTCAGTGCATGTCGTCCGTGTTTGCTAAACTGATGGACGCTGGAGGTCGGAGTGCTTGAGTGCTGAGGTGGTGGACGCTGGAGGTCGATAGGTGGAGGTGGGAATGGGAAGTCAAATGCTGAGGGTCGTGATGCGGACTTGGTGGACGCTGGAGGTCGTTAGTCGTAAGTGGAAGTGGAGTGCCGGGTGTTGGATGCTGGAGGTCGCTCTGCTGAGCTTGTGGATGGACGGTGGCTGGAGGTCGATAGGTGGAGGTGGGGCTGGAGGTGATGAGTCGGAGGCAAAAGCTCGAGGTCGGAATGTTGAACCGGTGCAGGCTGCAGGTCGACACGTAGGCGGAAGTGGTAGTGGAAAGTCGGACGCCAGGCGCTGCAGGTCGGAATGCTGGGGTGGTGAAGGCTGGAGGACGACAGGCGGGAGTGGAAGTGGAACGTCGGATGCTGGATGCCGGAGGTCGGAGCGTTCCTCCTCCTCCTCCTCCTCCTCCTCCTCCTCCTCCTCCTCCTCCTCCTCCTCCTTCCCCGCTCAAACTGATGGTGGTGGTGGTGGAAAACAGGCCCGTCAAACCAACAGGCCCGTCAAACCAAGAGGCACCGAGGTCAACAGATGGATATGGTAGCGGAACGTCGGATGCCGGATGCTGGAGGTCGGGATGCGGAGCCGGTGGGAGGCCGGAGCTCGATCGGTGGAGGTGGCAGGTGGCAAGTCGGGTGCCGGATGCTGGAGGTCGTAGTGCTGAGTCGGTGCCGAGCTGGCGGAGGCAGGAGGTCGATAGGTGAAGTGGATGTGGAACAATGGATGCTGGATGCCAGAGGCGGGGATGCTAAGCTGGTAGAGGCTGGGAGACAACAGGCGGAAGAAGGGGTGGAAAGTCGGGTGCTGGATGCTGGATGCCGGGATGCTTAGCTGGTGTGAGGCTGGAGGTCGATAGGTGGAGATAGAAGAGGCAAGTCGGAGGATGGAAGAGGGGTGATTGGAACGAACCAGAACGGAGAGGGAAAGACAGCCCGTGAGAGAGGGAGAGCAAAACATGACGAGAGAGAGAGAGAGAGGAATGCAAGAGAGATAGAAAACATGGCGAGCGCGAAAACAACCGAGGAGACGGTGAGGAAGGGGGCAAACGCTGCGGCGATGTACGAGGGCGAGAGGCACGGAGGTCCGGGAGCGCCGGCAGGGACAGTGCAGAGCCAAGTCGCCATCCGCCACAACGGGCCCAGATGAGCGGCCAGCTCAGCCCCCAGTCAACGGGAGGGCGACTGCAAGGCAGCGTGGGAGGCTGCAGTGGGGCGAAGAGGGGAAGAGGAGGCGGACGACGACAACGAGGGCGAGGGCCCAAGGCAGCAGCGACAGGAGCACTCTGGAGCCCACGGCGAGCCCTCGATCTACGAGGAGGCGGTCCCACGCAAGACCTCCAAACATCATTCCATCCTTCGTTGCCACGCTGCCTTTTGTTTGTCCCGAGAGGAGGCGCTGCAAAGGGAGCGAGGGGGAGCGGGGTGGGGGGGTCGGGGAAGGGGGAGGGGAAGAGCGGTAGAATGTACTCCGAGTTTCTTGATAAACTTCGGGGTGGCGTCACCCCCGCCGACAGCCCCACATCGACCGCCGTCGCGGGAAGCCACCGCGCGCCAAAGGCGCCCCGACCCCCGTCGCGGCGCGACGACGAGGCGAGGTTGACCCCCGTCGGGGTGGTACCCCCCCCACGCTTATGAAGAAACCCAGAGTAGCTAACGTTAGCCAAACAGAGAGATGCATGAATGCATGCCCCCAACTTCTCAATTCTGACGAAGGTTGGCAAACTAGCCGTTGCAAGGGTCGCCATGAATAACAAACTCAGCCCGCCGTCCCAAGGACCCCGCAGCCACACAAGCAGTAGAATGCCACGCATTTTCTGCACATTCATGGCAAAGGGGGGCTTGAGCAGACGCTGGCCACCATTGCAGCCGATCGCCATCACCATTTCCATTACCACCATCGTCATCATTTTATATGTATTCGTCTTCGCCTGCATCGTAATGACCCAAATCATAATCGTTCCATCATTGTGTTCACCCTGTTGTATCATCGTGTTCGTCCGCATCATACTGATGTCCTCTTCTCCTGCGGACACGATTGCGTCGATGTGCCGATGTCCTCGCTATTTCCTCCTCCTCCTCGTCTCCTCGTCCTCCTCCTCGTCCTCCTTCTACGCCTCCTCCTCCACCTCATCCTCGTCCCCCTCCTTCTCGTCCTCCTCCTCCTCGTCCTCGTCCTCGTCTTGTCCTCGTTCTCGTTCTCGTCCTCGTCCTCGTCCTCCTCCTCCTCGTTCTCCTCCCGTTCCTCCTCCTCGTCCTCCTTCTCCTCTTCTTCCTCCTCCTCGTCTCCTCCTCGCTACCTCCTCATCCCTCTCCTCACCCCTCCTCCTCATCATCCATCTCCGACTCCCCTTTTCTGCAAACGTCTGATGAAGAATTGCACGGGTACGGTGTTATGGAATGGCGATGCTGTTGTGCTTGGGTGTGGCACGAACTCCGCGAACTGTCCTTGAGCAAATCGGCGTGGGTAACCAACAGCTGCTGGGCTAACTGATGCTGCAGCGGTCCTCACCCAGTCGCAAACTTATGTTCTAACACCCCCTCTCGGCCCTCATAGCCGATGAGAGCGATGGGTGCAGAACATAAATGAGGCGAACTGGATCAATCATATGGTGTAATGCCACTGCCGGTTAACATACAGCATTGCACAGGCAAGGGGCTGCTATGGAGTGCGGCGCAAACGCGCAGGGACATCCTCATGCGCGATGCACCTGTTATGTTCCGCCAAGTGTAATACAATGTAAATGTCTTAACGTCAATCACGCCCTGTGGCAAACAGAAGAGGAAGGAAAAACGATTACCTGCGGCGGTGGTGGCGGCTAACAGACCTGGCCGGCGTGGCTGCCCTGCCTCCATGGCAAGTAGCCGTCTCCGGACTGTAACCCACGCGATACACTGGATGACGGTCGGCCTCATCGATGGCGTCGCAGAACTGGCCGGACCCGTCCGCAGCGACGTGCTCGTTAACGCCCACCCAGAAAACATACGCAATTGTTCCAGATCCGCTTAACACGGCGATCGACAGCATTGTCGAACCTGCCCATCGCTTGCCAGAAGCTACGGTCTGGGTACCATATATGTGAAGGACATTCAGATTTTGACAGATCCTGGTCGACCTGGTGCCAATCGTGGGGTCGACCATCCACCGGCATCCCGTGGCACATACATGGAAGTCGTAGGCTGGCAACCACGTTTGCCAGCACGCCGTTCCCTTGAGGTAATTGGACAGTGACGCACCTCGCGGAGAGGGAAATCACGAGCGTCGATCACGCGGTGGTTGTTTGGAATTGCTACCCTTAACATGGTCTGATACCAGCAAAGCCTTCGGCGATACCATCGGCGCCCTCACATTCCTCTGGTCGAACGCCTCCACAGCTCGTACTGTTCAGACAATATAACGAAACCATCCGCAAGCTGAATGAAGAAACCCGATAAGTCCCGCGTGGCGAAACGCATGGCAACTGCCCCGGCGCGAATCTCACCCTGCTCACGGAGCGCTTCCCAATGGAAAACTCTGCCGCAGAGTTCACAGGGGTTGCCCGCCCACATCATGCCAAACGCCGCGCCGAACAAATTTAACAGCTCATTCTCTTGCACGCATGCGCAATCCCGGATGGAAACTTGCGTTTTCGGCGCGCCCTGGCGCGGATTGCGGCAACCACGTCTTGATTCAACAAATGAAACATCGAGCTGATGCGGGATTGACAGGGGCGGGAAGTTGCGAGGCAGCTTTGGCTGCAAGTGGCTGGTCTGCTCTAACCACTGATCATGCTCGGCGCGTCTGTGCTCGGATAACTCGATTCTCCAGGGAGGAGGCCCAACCAGGCAATCCAGTGAACCCCGACGATGTGCATCCCCATAGCGGAAAAGAAAGCTGGCGCGGCAATCGACGGCGTCGTCGCCGCGCAAAACCCGGCCAGCTGCGCCCCCGAACTCCCGCTCGACATTGCCGTTCATCCACGCGCGGCATTAAATGC